CTGTGGTTGTTGGCATGATTTGAGCTGCAGAGTGGAAACACATTCTTTTTTAGGTCAATATCAAAATGAGGATATTTCTCTTGGAAAGATGAGAGCTCCGATCCCTGGACAGACAGTATATTTCCAACGTTACACATTTTACATACTTGTCTATACCTAGTCCTACTCCTCTTTTTCTTTTTCCGACCTTTAACACATTCTCATCTGAGTTTTCAAGAGAAAATACAATGATCCTGCCATCCTGCTAATCTCAATCGGCCGATGGCCAACAAGCTAACCACTATCCACCACCACTAATTGCATCTGCTATTTTGCTGTTATGTAAATATTCACGCATCCTTGTCATGAGCCATGTTCTCTTGATGATTATCTTTTCCGCCTAACCACCATTCGTTCTGTCTTTTTTATTCAAAAAGTGCCTCTTGAATTTAATAATTTCCTATAAGAACCCCTCGATTTTCATCTATTTCAATAAGCGCCACTCTGTTTTCATAAGCGCCCCGTTTAAATAAGCGCCCCGTTTGAATTAGCGTCCCTCAGAAAGTGCAAAAAATATTTTAAGCACCCGGGCGCTTATTCGCGCGAGTACGGTAGTGATGGACGGAAAGTCCTCGTCAATGTTGTATTTGGAGAGAAACACTACACTTTTGTTTCAATATATGCTCCAAATTTTATTAATGAAAGAAAATACTTTTTTAATAAAACGAAAGAATGGATTGGAAAAAAGTACAACAAAATATCAATATAATTATAGGTGGAGACTTTAATTGTATATTAGACCATTCTAAAGACTAAAAAAGTAGCCATACACGTATTGATAAATCATCAAAATTTAAAATAGTTGAACATATAATGAAATTTTGAATTGAAAGAAGCATGGCGATACATAAACCCAAATCTTAGATAATTCATATTGCGAAGACCGCAACAAGCGATCTATAGACGCCTAGATTTCTTGTTGTTAGTTAGAGAAAATTTTCTAAAAGAAAAAGAAATCGTAAGTGCAGATATTCGACCAGCCTTGGGGACAGACCACATGGAATATCTCTTAAATTCCAAATTGCATCATGTAAAAAAAAGGCCAAAGATTGTGGAAGTTAAATCTCTCAATGCTTGCCGAAGAAAATTATAAAAAAATTTAAAAAATGTATCATTGAAAAGACAAAACAAATATAGAGTATAACGGGGGTCCATTGGAAGCTTATGGTACCTCATGAAAATAAGGAAGAATGTAAAGTAGCAATAGATAAAATGAATACTGAAAAATCACCAGGTCCCGATGGGATTCTTATAGAATTCTATCGTATTTTTTGGGGGAGACTTAAACAATATCTTAATAGAGGTCTATATGGAAGCCTACAATAAAGAGCGCCTCACTCTCTATCCCAACAACGACGTGTTATAACACTTTATTTAAAAAGGGAGATAAATAAAATTTAAAAAACTGGTGAACTATAACGCTTTCAAACTCTGATTATAAAATTGCAGCAATGGTTATTGCCAATAGAATGAAAACAATCTTACCGGAAATAATCAGTGAGCACCAAACTGGATATATAAAAGGTAGAGGAAAATATTCGAATAATAGAGGATATAATCCAATGTACAAGTGAACATAATATTGGTGGCGCTATTTTGTGCCTTGATTTTCAAAAGGCTTTTGATCAAATAAACAGAAACTTTATGATGTCTGTTCTGAAAAAGTTTAATTTTGGCCCATCATTCATGATTAAAACATTATACAATGGAGCAAGCAGCTGTATCACTGATAATGGCTTTCTAACCAAATATTTTGATTTGAAAAGGCGGGTGGGTGAGACAATGCTGCCCCTTATCGCCTCTACTTTTTATTTGAGCAGTAGAAATATTATCAATTAATATACGCAATGACAAACACATTAAGGGAATCACAATACCAGCGATTAAAGACAAACATTGTGAGCTAAAATTAACACAGTTTGCAGATGACACAACTATTTTCTGCAACACAATGGTCAGCGTTAAAAAGTCCTTCGAAAATATCAATTCTTTTTGTAAAATATCAGGATTAAAACTCAATATGAGCAAAACAGAAGGGCTGTTACTTGGCAAACTAAAAGTATTAATGGTTTTATTGAAAATAGAGACATGTACAAAAATATAATAAAAGTACTTGGAATATTATGTAGGATATAATAAACAAGAATGTGAAAAAATGAACTGGACAAAAAAATTAGAAAAATTAGAAAACCAATTAAATAGCTGGACAAAACGAAATCTCACAATGTATGGAAAAGTAACTATTGTGAATTCACTAGGCTTATCACAATTACTATACAACGCACAAGCTATAAGTTTACCGGAGTACGTGTTTGTTAGAGCAGAAAATTTAATATATAATTTTATTTGGAATTAAAAAAAAAAGTGAAAAGATAAAAAGAAAAAAATTAATAAGAGACAGAAGTCATGGTGGTATCAAAGCCCCGGACTTTAAAACGAAGTGTGAAGCATTACGTATAGCTTTGACGTTTATCGGCCAAAACAATTAAAACAAAACTTAATAGATGCTACAATTGGGTGGCGGAATATACATTAGTACGTGAAGCAATACTACGTGCATGGATACATATGATATCTATGAGAATCAATAATGACACCGCTAACGATACCCAAATGAAA